TAGGGTATGGGTGGGGCGGGGTGAGGTAAGGGGTACATGGAATGGGTAGGGGCCATAGGGGTGGGGAACGGGCAGCAGGTAGCGGGTAGGGGTAAAGGGGTCGAGTGGGGGTAGAGGTAGGGGTATGGTTAGGTAGGGGTGGGGGTTAGGGTACGAGGGGTAGATGTGGGTAGGGGTGGGAGTTTGAGGGATAACAAGGGTTGGGGGTTTGGTGGGGGTAGGGCTAAAGCCTAAAATTAGGATTCATTTCTTGTTGCAAATACTCACTTTTAACATACCATATTTCAATGGATTGAAGTAATTTTTCTACCGCGTGTACATTCTCATATTGATTATTTTTTTCAAAAATCGAACTTTGATGTTCAGCATCTTGAACAAACCACCCCTTAAAAGGTATTGTTAAAAGATCATCAATTCCTAATTAGGGTATGGTGTGACGGGTAGGGGTGGGGGTAGGGGAAGGGTCGGTGGGGTTACGATGGGGGGTCGGGGTTGGGGTAGGAGTAGGGGTAACAGTAAGGGCAGGTATGGGCAACAATAAATGTGGAATCTGAGAAATTTTTTTTATAGGCCTGGGACCGGTTCGGTTCCTAACCAAAGTAACGATTTGGTTCTTATAAATTTTTTATAGAATCGATATGGAATCACACCATTCTTAACAATTCGGTACTTGTCATTCAAAGGTTCCTAGTTTTTTTAAAAATTATTACAAGTCACTATTAAGTTTGTTTCAAAAAAAAACATTCAAGTTTGAAATTACAAGAAATACAAATATGTTTACCATCATTCCATATCTCAAAAGTTGAGCTTAAAACATAAATACATACCAAACTGGAAATTTTAGTAAATAAAAGAAAACAACATATTGACTATAATCAATAATTATGATCTTGAATCAACAACATAATTAGCCAGCAAAAAGTTCATTCATCTCAAAGGATCACGAATAGAGCATTCAATTCCAATCATCTTGGTCTCTAATAAGAGGACTAAGAGCCTTAGAGAAACTCGTTAAAATAAATAATAATGTTAAATACTTAAGTAACTAAACTAAAATAGTTAGTGTAGTATACAAATAAATAAGTAAATATACATTAAAATATATATACTACTTCCTTTGTTCCGCCAAGATGGTTTCATTTTACCCTTTTGGGAAATCTAACTAAAATTGTTTCATACCAGATTTGGTAAAGTTTGTGTGGCTCTAAATAATTCTTACTTTCTTCTTATTTCATCAATTCAATATCAATCACATAAACCCATTTTTCTTAATAACTGTGACACCTCCTCTTGTCTCAATATTAGTGAGACGGTGAAGGTAGTAATAAGAAATATATATATATATATATATATGATGGATAGTCTACCCGGGGGTATATATCCGAAGGGTTATTACGGGGAATAACTTAGAGAGAAGTCAGAGCAAGTAAGTAAAAGTAGAGAGAGAATGTATCCAGTATGAATGCCGTTTTCAGCGTGGTTACAAATGGGGAAATGGGGTGCTATTTATAGTAGCAATAAATGCCGGGCAGGGACACGTGTCAAGCGCTCATTGGCCGAGGGGTCACCTCAACTGGTTGGCGCTGGCAGCCGCATGTGGCCGCATTTAATGCGGTTGTTGGATGGGACGTCTGTACAGGGTACGGTGATCTGTACGCATGTGAGGCGGATATCTTGTCGAGTGAGATGCCTTCGGTTATAGAGCAGTAGCTGAGGGCTCCTCCAACCGATGGCACCCTGGTGCCGAGGGCTCACAGTGCCGAGGGCTACTGTTTTCGCCGTTTTCTCCCAGTTTCTTAGTTTGCTTGAGAAACCCGTTCTGTGAGAGTTTAGAGCCTTCGGCCAGGGGGCCGAAGGCACCCCTGGCGCGTAGTGCGGGCTGCTTGGTACTCTGGGCGCTGTGATTTGGGCCTGTTGGACCTTCTGGGCCTGTTGGGCCTCTAAAGGAGTAGTAGGAGTCTGTGGGCCGGGGGTTCCCGGGCCATATACTCCATCAGGAGTCCCTCACTCCTTTTGCCGAAAGGTACTTGAGGGAAAAGGAGTAATTTGTGCTTGCCCTTTGATGTTGTCCCGTCGTGATCTCTGAAGTTGGTGAGGAGTTGTTGCTTTTATGTCCCTGCCGAAGGCAGTCCCTCAGTTATCCACATGTCGGGACTTGAGGGCTTGCCTTGTCGTTTGTTGGATTTTTACTAATTTTGTAATTTAATGATTTTCCCGAGGGGGTCCTCCAGTTCCCCACTCCTTGAGGCACTTGTAAAGTGGTGAAAAGGAGTAGAGTAGTTGTGTTGCTGTTGTGGGCCGAAGGCTGACGCTTTTCGTTTCATTTTGGGGGGATGCCTCGTTAAAAACCTCATTAGGAAAAACCATGTGGGAAAAAATCCTAATGAGGGAAAAAGAGTGCACCGAATTCCCCCAATGATGAATTGAAAATGTCAAACCTTGGTAAAAAATGGAGGATAACGGGAATGCCGAAGGCTCTCTCTTCTGAGGGCTCCTGTGTTGATTAGCCGGAGGCTTGCTGTTGATGTCCTGGGTGCGCCGAAGGGGAGCCCCTCAATCAGGGGATCGAGGGCCCGCTGGATGAGGGCAGCAGTGGAGTTGTTACCGGGGGGTCCACTGTTTGTTGATTAATTGGTGATGAAGATACCCGAGAGCTCCCATTACCTGTGTGCCATGGGTCACCCGTCAATGAGGCAACTCCCCGGGGGCTACCCGGTTTTGCAGTGCTGAGGGGGGATCCCCGAGGGGTGCCCTGATATGAAGCCCTGGGTTTCTGAAGGAGTGATCCCGAAGGCGTCTGTTATGTGCTGTGTGGGGTGAAGTAGAAAACCCGGGGGCTTCTGGGTAAGTGTACCCGGAGGCTATCCTCGATGAAGTGGAGTGAAGTAGAAAACCCGGGGGCTTCCAGAATATAGCCGTTGGGAATATAGTCGTTGGAATACGTAGCGTCAGATTTATAGCCGTTGGAATATGTAACGTCAGGTTCATAGCCGTTGGGGGGGGGGGGGTACACGTGGCGTGTGATGGCTGGCTGTCCGTGGGCGGCGTCACTGGTTGGGCGAAGACGCGGTGTGTAATGATGGCGCCCATCCGGAGGCCCGGTTTCCGGGCCCAAGCCCGGATTCCAGCGCCTATAAATACCCCAAGGCCAGGGCCATTCCTTCTTGTGCGATCATTTGTTTTAGCGAAGCTCTGCCGAAAATTCTAGAGAGAGAAACTCCAGCCTTCGGTCAAAACTCTGCTTTCAAGGTCAGTGCCCGTTTTCCTCTCCAAACTTTTAGTAAGTTCCGACCTCTGGCCTTAGATTAGGGTTAGTCTTGTAGAAAGCCTTCGAAACCTTAGACACACTTCGTGATAAAAATGTCGTCCGAGAGCGATTCCCAGGACATCTCGAGGACGCCCTCGATGGAGGACGAAGGCATCTCCGACGTGGAGTCCAGCAGTGGTCAGCCCTCGGATGGTGGTGATGCAGCCCTCGCCACTGAGGTGCAGAAGGATCTGATGGCCGAGGCCGAGGCGGAGGAATTCGAGCGAACTGCCGAGGATGAAGAGTTGGCCCTCGCCGTCCAAGTTGCTGAAGAGGAGGAGGAAAAGGAGAGGGCGAAGGTCACTGTGGCAGTCCTTCCCCCTCGGGGTGCTGGTGAGGCCAGTACTTCCCAGCCGCTGAATGCAGTTCCCATCCGGGTGGCCCCCGGGAAGAAGAAGGCCAAGGCAGCTGCCCCCAAGAAGAAGGTTATTGCTGCTGATCAGGGGAAACCCGTAGATATGCCGGAGGGGTATTCCTGGCTCAACACGGCTGCCTTGGAGATAAAGTCGAAGGCGGACAGGGCGGACCTCTACGTGACGCAGCTACATGTAGGGCCCTCGACTGTGGTGGTCGAGCCGGGAGTTGACGACGTGCTCTCTCGGGCGCCTGAGGGGTGCATTGCAGTACACGTACTGTCGGTCTCCATGGGCCTTCGGTTCCCTCTGCACCCCTTCCTCCGGGAGTACCTGAGGTTTGTTGCCTTGGTACCCTGCCAGCTGACACCTAATAGCCACTCCTACGTGGCGGGTTTTTTAAACCTCTGTAGGGACCGAGGGATGACCCCCAGCCTGGACTTGTTCTTCCAGAGCTTCAACCTCTGTCGAGGGGGTCACGCGAATGCTGAGGGCTTCGCCAACCTGCAGCAGGTGGCCAGGTGGAAGCTGTTTACGGAGGCGCCTTCGTCCAATAAGGGCTGGAAGGAGCGCTGGTGCTATGTCAGGGTTGCTGAGAACCCATTTCCGGCGGAACTTCGGGATCGCTTCCGTCGGCATCCGAAGGTTGGAAGCGCCGCCCTCGAAAAAGATTGCCTGGTGATAGCCAAAATCCCGGAGGGTCGCACAAAGCAGGTCTCCATCAAAGACTATACTGCCGACAAGGGATTCTACGCCCTCGGCTTTCGGAGATACCGATTTATTGGGGAAGCGGACGAGAAGTACCCCATTTTTGCTGAGGCCTTCGGGGGAACAGGAGGTAGTCTACGAGGTCCCTCGGTTTTTATATCTTAGCACATAGCTTATCTTGTTCGTGTTGTTTTTTTTTCTTTTTTTCTTTGTGCCTTCGGTCAGTAACCCCTCGATTTTAACCCCATGCCTTTTTTTTTGCAGGTGTCCCAGTGAAAATGATGAACGTCAGAGGCCTTGCAGACCTGAAGAAGAAAAAACCCTCCAAGGGCCCGAGGGGGACGGACGCCGGTGTCCCAAAACCCGCCGGTGACTTCTTCAAAAAACCGGAGGGGCCGTCGGTGGGCCCAAGTGCTGATGCTGCCGCTGCCGCCAAAAGGAAGGGCTCGGGCAGAGATCCCGAGGGCAAGAAGCCCAAGACCGGGGATGCCGGGAAGAAAGTCCCCCCGGTGATCATTGTTGATGAAGGCCCTGCCTCCAGGGCGAATGAGGACATGCAGGTGGCGAAAGTGCCGCCGGGAGTTCAGGGGCCATCTTCCGAGGTCCTCATGGTTTCCCTCCCGACTGGTACGGCCGTGATGAACGGTACGGCCGACCCGAGGGCGCTTCTGAGAGGCATCACCCTCGAGATTGACAGAGTAGCCCTCGGGGCTGATGAAGACGAAGCCCTCGAGGACAGGATCCTCCGGTCTTCCCTCACAGTAAGTCTTTTATGTTTATTTCTTTCTTTTTTACTTCGAGCTAAGAAACCATGTTTGGCCTCGCTAACCCCTTTGTTTTTGTAGACCTGCATTGCCCTCGGGGAGCAAGCCCGGCGGCTAGAGGAGTGGCGCCTTCGCAAGGCCGAGCAGGAGGCCAAGATGCGGGAGCTCATCCGCCAGAATGCAGACGCTGTTCGGCAGATGGCTATGCTGGAGGAGAGCCTTCGGCAGATGACCCTGCGGGCGGAGGCCGCAGATCGGGGTAGGGCAGAAGCCGAGAGGTCCGCAGCTGAGGCCTTGGAGAGAGCTGTCAAGGAAGCCAAGGCCGCGAAGGTGGAAGCCGTCGAGAGTGCCCGAGGGGACGCAATCTCGGGGTTCTTGGCAGGGGGTGGCGGTCCGAGGAGCACAAGCAATGGCTGTCCTCGGTCGTCGAGTCCTCGGTCGACGAGTGGTGTGATGGGCCTGGCGTGGAGTGGGTTTCCCGAAAGGGTAAACAATACTATGATGGGGGCGAGTTTTTCACTCAAGCCCTCATCTACCGGAGGATGGCTCGCCACTTGAAGATCGAGCCAAAGGACTTTGACCCGGCAGCATACGGGCTCCCCCCCTGCAGCCAGACATCCGCGTTCCTCTTCCCCCGATGTCGAGAGGCCAGACCTGGAGGACTCTGAGCTCATGAAGGAAGCCGAGGGCGACGAACCTTAGGCCGACGCAGAAGTCACCTCGAAGCCATCGGGGGAGGCGGCCCCCGAGAATGACATTATTTGATATGTATTTTGTATTATGTAAACATGTATTTGTAATGGTGACATTATTCATCCTTTGGCTTCGGCCTGCTTGTAACATTTATTCGTAATCACATTTGCCCTCTGTTTGTTGATGATTGAATGATTGCCTTCGGGCTGTGTTTATATGACTTGTTTTCTCCATTTCCTTTCTTCTTGAATGTATGCCTCTGTTTTCCTTGAGTGTATGCCTTCGGTATTTTTGAATGTATGCCTTCGCTCCTTTGAATGTGTGTTTTAGGACTTAGAGTATTTTCTGATTGTAGCTTGCCCCTGGAAGCCTTCGGTAGTTGGGCACCCTCTGCTGGATATGCAACCGAGGGTTCAGCAGCAATTAGGACTTAGAAATTTTTCCTAAGTGTAGCACAGCATGAGGCCTTCGGGCGTCTGTAGTAACCCAAATCCTAGGACTTAGAAAAATTTCTAAGTGTAGATTTCCCCTTGAGAGCCTTCGGGATATGGCATCCCTTCCTGATGTGTGATTGTTGGACCGAGGGCCCAATGTACAGGACTTAGAATTTTTTTGCAAGTGTAGTACGTCACGTAGCCTTCGGCTACTGTGGAGCCTCAACTGAAATATTGAGTAGGCCGGGGGCCAATTCTTTAGGACTTAGGAAATTTTCTTGAGTGTTGATTCCTTGTGTACTGTAGCCTTCGATTGATAGGCAGCCTTCGGCGATTAGGTCCCTTGAGATGAGGGTGAAATATGTAGGACTTAGAAAATCTTCTAAGTGTAGAGTTTCCCTTGGGAGCCTTCGGGAGATGGCGTCCCTCCATGATGTATGAGTAGCTGACCGGGGGGGAAAATATGCAGGACTTAGAAAATATTCTAAGTGTAAATTTTCCCTTGGGAGCCTTCGGGAGATGGCATCCCTCCTTGACGTATGAGTAGTTGACCGGAGAAAAACATGTAGGACTTAGAAAATATTCTAAGTGTGGATTTTCCCTTGGGAGCCTTCGGGAGATGGCATCCCTTCTTGATGTATGAGTAGTTGACCGGGGAAAAACATGTAGGACTTAGAAAATATTCTAAGTGTGGATTTTCCCTTGGGAGCCTTCGGGAGATGGCATCCCTTCTTGATGTATGAGTAGTTGACCGGGGGGAAAACATGTAGGACTTAGAAAATATTCTAAGTGTAGATTTTCCCTTGGGAGCCTTCGGGAGATGGCATCCCTTCTTGATGTATGGCCTTCGACTGTCATATTCCTCTAGCTGCAATACTGATTGAGCCGGGGGCCCATCTTTAGGACATAGAATTTTTTCAAGTGCTGCTTCCTTGTGTAGCCTTCGGGTGATAGGTGCCCTCTGACTCTACATTACTTTGCGAGATGCCCGGGGCTGCTCATTCAGGACTTAGAATTTTTTCTAAGCATAAATTGATGTTGAATCCTGTTGCTGTGAAGAAAGCCAATGAGAAGTGTGTGCCCTCGGCATACACTTTAAAAGTTGTAGAAGTTGACCCTTGTCATGGGGAAAGGGCCCTCGGTACTAGCGCGTAACAGATGCCTTCGGTATATGTTTGAAGGTACAGTCTTAGTGTACTTTGGATAGTCCAGTCCCTTTGTATTGTTGAAGCCTTCAGTGTTTGTGTGACCGGAGGTGACCAGGCAGTGGACTTAGCCGTTTCTCGATGCTATTTGTTCGAGTAGTATCCTTCGGGAAATAGGAGCCTTCAGTTACCGGAGGTGTTCCCGTGGGGAGCCCTCGGCATGTTGTGATCTTGTTGGAGTGTACTCTTTGATTTCTCGCTGAGTCTACTCCCCTTCACCCTTTTTTTTGTGGTTGGTGGTGAAGGGAAGGCATCAAGAAACTTGGTTTCTTGGTAAGGCTGGGCCTATTAGGAGACCATCAGAATACACCAATGGCTCTCCTCCCTCGGGTTAACCTTCCGAGTTCCGAGGGGATCGAGGGTCGTTTCCTGGGCACAAGATATGGTGGTCCGTAACCTGCCTCCCCTTGTGGGATGGCGCGGAAAGCGCCTCATTTTTGAAAGTCGTCCCCTCGGCGCTAGACAAAGTCCGTGGCCTGCCACACCCTTGGGGTGGTGGCGCGGGGAGCGTTTCGGTTTGGAAGTCGAATCCTGGGCATTTCTCGTGCCTGTCACACCCTTGGGGTGATGACGCGGATAGCGTTCCGTTTTTGAAAGTCGAATCCTGGGCATTTCTCATGCCTGTCATACCCTGGGGGTAATGACGCGGAAAGCGTTTCAAGGAAGGGTTTTCATTCGCACACTAGTTGCAAATGGCCGGGGGCACTACGTGCCGCCGGCACCGATGGTGGCGCCTTCGGTATATGCGTCCTCGTGGGGTACGGCTTTTAGAAACAACACTTGGTGTTAGTTTCGATGTGTAGCCCCCGGTACTTGGTACCGAGGGGTCTTCTGTAGGAATACTTGGTGTTCTCTTTTGTCGTAGTTGATGTAGGCATCTACCCTCGGTACTTGGTACCGAAGGGTCTTCAAATGAAACACTTGGTGTTTCCCAACAGATGTTTGGAAGTTGATAGGAGAGCATATCCCTGGCACTGGGTGACGAGGGGTCTTCTTTGAAACATTTTGGTGTTTTTTTTCTTCGTTTCGATGTTTGATGATGGAGGTGTACCCTCGGCACTGGGTGCTGAAGGGTCTTCTGTAGGAACACTTGGTGTTCTCATCTTTTTTTTTTATGTTGAAGGTGGGAATGTACCCTCGGCACTGGGTGCCGAAGGGTCTTCTGTAGGAACACTTGGTGTTCTCATCTTTTCTTTTTTGATGATGGAGGTGGGAATGTACCCTCGGCACTGGGTGCCGAAGGGAAATGAAACACATGGCGTTCCTTGTTGTTGGTGATAGGAGTTCCCTCCCTCGGTACTTGGTACCGAGGGGTCTTGACTGAAAACACGTGGTGTTTTCACTGTTTGTTGTAGGTGTTGATGGTGTCCGCCCTCGGCACTTGGTGCCGGAGGGGGTTCTTCTCGTGGTGAGGCCTGGGGGCTGTAGTCAGTATGAGGGCTTGATGTCTTGAATGTATCTTCATTCTTCGAAATTGGAGGCCTTGGGCCATAGGATAGTACATTCACTAGTTATGAGGGCTTGGCCGCTCTTACATTATTGATAAAACTTAACTAAATGGTGTACATTCCAATGCCTAGGGACTTCTTTCCCGTTGGGGCGTTTGAGCTTGTAGGTCCCAGGTTTGATGATGGCTGCTATGATGTAGGGGCCTTCGAATTTTGGTGCCATTTTTCCTCCCTCGGTTGGTTGGCTGGCTTCCCTCCTCCGGAGGACATAGTCCCCCACTTGAAATTCTCGGGTGCGAATTTCTCCCCGGATGAAGCTTTTAACTTGCCTTCGGTAGTTTTCTGCCCGGATGAAGGCCTGCTCCCGGCGTTCTGAAATGAGGTGGAGGTCGAGGGCCATGTTGCTGTCGTTGACCTCGGGGTCATATTGGATCACCCTTCGGGTAGGAAGGGTGACTTCCGTAGGAGCTTTGGCTTGCCGCTGATGGGGGCATAGTTGACCCTTCGGGTAGGAAGGGTAGGAGGTGCTGATGGGGGCATAGTTGACCGCTGGCCTGCCGGGAGCTTTCTGGAAATGTTGACATGCGGTGCACCTCCGGGCAAGGTCAGCACAATCCCTGGCCATGGTTGGCCAGAAGAATGAGCCTTCGGGACATGGAGAAGGGTCCCTGGTGAGCTGAGCAAGTGCCACTGTGCACTTCCTCCATTGCGACCTCGGCTTCACCTGGATGAAGGCACCGAAGTAGCGTGCCATTGTAAGATCGTTTGTAGAGCCTTCCATCTTCGATGGTGTAGCTAGGAGCCCTCAGCTTTGCCAGTTTAGCGCGGGCCTCATTCTCGGATAGCTGCCCTGTGGAGATGAAGGTGGTGATATCTGAGATCCAATCCTCTTGACGTTGTTGTATGTTCATAACGGGGCTTGCATGGATGCTTGAGAGGCTGAGTTCCTCGATTTTGGCAATTTTGGAGATGTGCTCGGGGGAGTCGGCCGAGAGCTTAGATAATATGTCGGCCTCGGAGTTCTGAGCCCTCGGTATTTGAGTGAGAGAGTGTGCCTCAAATACCTTAAGCAACTCCTTGGCCGTTTCCTTGTACTGTTTCATTCTCCCCTCCTTGGCCTCATATTCTTCGGAGATTTGGCCGACAACTAACTTGGAGTCGCATTTGATGTGGATCTGCCGAGCCCTCATGTTGGCCGCCAGCCGAAGGCCACATAGGAGGGCCTCATATTCGGCCTCGTTGTTGGAGACTTTGAAGGAGAAGCGGATTGCATAGTAGGCTCTGAAGCCCTCGGGAGTAATGAGGACTACCCCTCCCCCGCATGCTTTGGTCGCGGAGGAGCCGTCGGTGTAGAGGGTCCACCAGTCGTCCGAGGTAGCCGAGGGCTCCCCGTCCGTGGCGGCCCTTGCGGTACACTCCGTCACAAAGTCCGCTAGGGCTTGGCCCTTGATGGCAGGCCTTGGACGGATGTCAATGTTGTACTGGCTCAAGAAGATAGCCCATTTTACCATGCGGGAGGA